TCTCGCTGGACGCCTCGGTGGACCCAATGATCACAGCTCTTCGTGTTGCTAAGCGCGAGAATGATGCCGTGACGATCCTTTTGAGACATGGGCCCTCGCCGAAATGGGCTTTCCAAGTGGTGCTTCGTGAAACCACGGTTTGTAGGGACGCATGCGGAGAGGGGGCTTGGGGCGGGAGGATGTCTGGCAACATCGCTGGCGCATCTTGGGATTACTCTGGCCCCCCTCCCTCGTAGTTGGGCGGTCGCGGGCGCGGCAAGAGGAGGATGAGGATGATGAGGAGGAGAATTAGCAAATGGAGGCGGGAGCGAAAAGAGGAGGATGCGGAGGGGGAGGAGGGGGAGGAGGAGGAGGAGGCGTGGGCAGCGTCAGCGTCATGAGGAGCTTGCTCGAACCTGCCCGCGACGTCAGCGAAAGTAAACGAAGGAATAACAGGTGGAGAAATACAGGCAGGTGGGGACGCAAGGGGAAAGCGAGGGGAGGAAGCCAACCACAGGGGGAGGACGGGTAGACGGACCGCTTCTCCGAAAGCGCGCGCCACTAAGCCAGAGGAACTCGCACAGCAGACCTAAGTACTGACAGCTACGCCTCAACCCCGCCGCCGTCGTCTTCCTGTCTCCTCCTCATCCCCTCCTGCTGGGGCAGAAGTCAACAACCTGCCTCCCCGCACTTCCTGTGATCCCCCACCAGGCCGGACGGGAATGTGGTAGAAGCTTTGCTGAGGGGGGGGGGGCGCAACATGACCGCACCTGCGTCCGAGCGTTATTTTTTAACACTTCACGCCGAGGTGAATTGCGCTGCCTCAGACCGGCCCTGGTGAGATGAGACGGCGAAGCAGGGAGTTGGGGATCTTTGCAGGGCCAGGCACGCAAAGGAACTGGCGCTCAGTTTGGGTGCGTTCGACGTCCACCTTGAATGGCTGACGTCGTTCGCGGAGATTCGAGGGGCCTGTAGGCTCTCACCGACTTTGAGGCCTGACTTCCGCCGTTGAATTCCCCGAGCCGCTGAAAACGGGGATCGACACGTCGGGAACGTTGCCCAATGCCGATAGCGGTCGCTGTTGGGGCAGGCGAGGTTCGTCCCAGTTGGACGGCGCCCTCGGGCACACCGACACCGACAGCAAGCCCTGCTCAGAATCGGCAGGAGGTGCTGTTGGTCGTCGTCCCAATTCTCTCTGTCCCCGTTTGGCTCTTTCGGGCGTGGGGACCAAGGAGGAGGAGGAGGAGGAGGAGAAGGATGGACAGGAGCAAGATGAGGAGAGGCCCTGACACTCAGGACAGCCGTGGGCGAGCGCCGCAGGACGCCAGCCGGCGACCTCGCAGCGAGACGTGGAGTCGGCGTCAGAGCCCCTGGCTGGTACTGCTCACACGAGGAGCTCCCGTGAGCTACCAGCCTGGAGCATATCCCCATCCCTATGCTGGGCACCTCCTCATCACGATGCCAATCTTAGGGATTCCTCTATTTTTTGAGGGCGGGCCCCTAAGACTGTCATCGCCTTTTGGCGTGTCAATCTTAGGGATAGGGATCCGTTCGAGGCTGGTAAGTGAGCTGGGGGTGGGAAGGGGCGCCGAAGGCACTGACAGAGCGACTCGATGTGGCGCCTTCGGGCGCGGCCGCCCCTCGAGGGCTGCGGGCCTCGAGGGCCCAGGCGCGCGCCCGGCGCGCCCGCTTCCCCCTTCCGGGCGCCCCCCCCTCTCCCCCAGAGATCCGATGTCGTGAATCTTGTTCTTCTATCCCGGGAAGTCTTGACCCATTCCCCAGGACCGGTTTTTCATCCCGAGTCGTTTTGTTGACGGCCCCGAGGCCCGACGAGGGCCCCTGGGGGCCGACATTTGCGACAAACCTCCGTCTTGATTTTTTCAATGCGCTGGAAAACCTGGGCCTCCCTCATCGCGCCCGCCCTCTGCTCGTCCTCGCCTCTCGTCCGTCGCTCGTCCGCCCATCGCGTCGTCTCTCCGAGCTCCGCCTGCTCCCTGCCGCTGGGCTCCCCGCTCGCCGGCACCGCGCCAAGGAAAGCGGCGGCGGCGTGGCACCCGCTCGGGGCGGTGGTCGTAGTTATGCCATTCGGCCGCGGCTGCACGGCCGTGGGCTCCGACGGCCACGGCGGGCGTCCGAGGAGGAGCGGCGGGCCACGCCGCCCCGGCTGCCCAGCTGCGCGGCTGCGTGCCGAAGCGTCGCGCCCTCCTCTTCCTTCCTGCTGCTCTTGCCCTTGCTGTGCTCCCCCCGGGAGCCTGGAGTGCCAAGAGCGCGGTCACGTGTAAGCACTAGTGGCCCACCAGCTCCCCCCGACCGAGGGGTTCACAGCGGCGCCCCTCGTCCGCCGAGGAATGCACTGCAGATCGCGCCCCTCAAGTGAGAACCTCTGCAACCTTAGAAGGCAGAAGGGAAACCTCCAAACAAGCAGCGGCCAGGGGGGCCCGCAATCCCAGAGAGTTGCTCCGCGCCGCTGCTTAGACGGGTCTCGGTCGCCTTCCCTCGCGCTTGCCCGAAAACTCCCAACGTCCCCTCGGTTCGGCCCTCTCCCTTTTTGTTCAGGGACCTCTCTCTCTCTTCTCCTGGGCCGATTGGCGGCATGCTCAAAGAAAGCGCAGATCCCCAGCGTGGGCGGGATGCGACCATACCATCCGAATGGTCGATCTGCTCTGAAGCGGGTGAAACAAGTGCGCTGTCTCTCCAGACAGGGCGCACATGTGGTCTGCAATCAACAACGAAGTCTGCCAAGTCGGGCTCTGCCACCGCGCTGCGTGTCCAGACGGTGCGCAAGTGTGGCCTGCAGTTCACGGTACGTCAGCTGAAAGATGTCAGCAAGCAGCATCACCAGCGCAACCGGAGGCGCCAACTGAGCCCGCGTGCGTCCCAGTGGCAGCGGGCTGCTGCGAGGGGTGCCTTCTGTCAGCTCGTTGAGCCAGCTGAGTGCCGCCGCCGGTCTCTGTGCCATCGAAACACGAAGAACAAATCGCCTGGGGACTTCCTAACTTCCTTGCAACACAACCCTCAGGCGTCCTGGCAGTCATGCGGCGCTGCAACTCAGGCAATCCGACACATCGCGCAGAGGGATTAGCGGCGGGTGAAAATTAAGCGCTGTGTCTCCACACGGTTCAGTACCCGGTCTGCAGTCAAGTAAGTCTGCCGAGTCAAGCTCGGCCATCGTGCTACGTGTCCAGACGGCACGCGAGTGCGGTCTGCAGGACAATAAGGCGGCCGAATTCTCTCTGCCACACTACAACGGGACCAGGTTAGATCACTCGCACCAGAACTTCCTCACTGGATACGAACATGGAACGTCCCGACGGGCCCAGATCGACAAGGCATGGGAGGAACAAGGGAAATGCAGATGATGGTTCTATGAGAAACGCGACGGGGTCGGACCCCCCCACACAAGCAGAGGCATCATTTGAATCACGTTGCTTTCATGCGAGACTCCGCGGGCCGTCTTCATTAGCTAACTTCAGGCCCCGCCTCTGCGGGCCCAGAACGACGAGGAGCGGGAGGAGCAGGAGAAATGGGGATGGGATACTGTTTCTATTAGAACTGCAATGGGGTCCGCCCCCACACAAGCCGTCTCGGAGGCACCATCATTGCCTCCCCTCGCGCTTGCCCCACATCGCCCTCTGCCCCTTTAGTCCCGCCCTCTCCCGTGTTGGTCCAGGGACCTCTCCCTCCTCCTTGGCCGATTGGCGGCATGCTCAAAACGAACGTGGATACCGAGCTTAGGCGGGATGCGATCATACCATCCGGCCAGTCGCTCAGAGGGATCTGCGGCGGGTGATATAGGTGCGCTGTCTGCAGACGGTCATAAGTCAGCACCAGTGGTGAAACCGACGGCGCCAACTTCTGAGCCCGCGTGCGCCCCAACGGCAGCGGGCTGCTGCGAAGCGTGCCGCCTGTCAGCTCGATGAGCCTGCTGATTGCAGCCGCTGGTCTCGGTGCCATCAAAACATGAAGAACTTATCTCCTGGAAACTCCCCCTATGAGCAAGATGGCTTTCCTGACTTCCTTGCAGCACGATCATCAAGCGTCCTGAAAATCACGCGACGCTTCAACTCGACCCACATCTATCTTAACAAGGGCCTTGAATCTGCGAGAGGGCACGAGCCCAGGTCCAAACACCTCTTCGAGAAGCCGATCAGAGACCGCCCTCCAATGACATCTCGCGTGGAAGACAGGCATAGCCCTACGCGCCGCCACGCTGGTCCCGGGCAGGCTGTGCTGCCTGGCCGAGGGAGAAGCAGGCCGACGACGACGAACGCGCAGGCGGGAGGCCGGGGTTGGCAGGCGGAAGGGGGGCCAGGCGGAGACAGCAGGCAGGGAGCAGGAGGAAGTGGAGAGAGGCAAGGAAGAGGAGGAGAGGGGAAGAAACCACAAGCAGATAGGCCGGGCCAGGGACCAGGAGAGAAGAGCCACACGCGAGGAGGCTACGGACCTCACGGCGGCGACACTGACCAGGCTGCGCAGGCGCGGTGGTGGAGTGGGCGGTGGGCGTCGGAGGGGGAGGGGTCGCGTTTGTGGTCGTCCACGCTCCAACGTCCGCGCTCCACGAATCAGGCTCTGCCACGCTCCAGCGTCCAGGGGGGCAGGCCAAATTAGACCCTTCGCACCAAACTTCTTACTCGATACGGAACATGAAACGGCCCGACGGGGCCAGGACGATGGGGAGTTGGAGGAGCAGGGAGAATGAGGATGCTGTGCGAACGGCGATGGGGCCGGTCCCCACACTGAGGCCGTCTCAGAGGCATCCTCATTGCCGAGCGCATTGAACCATGCTGCTTTCACGCGAGGCCCCGCGGGCCGCCTTCATGCTTTCAGTTCAAGTCCCGACTCTGCGGCCCTGAAGTGATGGCGCTTATTCGAGATGGCGATACCATTAGTGCTGCCCTAAGCAAGCAGAGAGCTACGCATGTAGACCTGTGACTAAGGCGCTGGCTTTTGCATGCCTGCTGCGATGCGGATAGCCCGACGCCGAGCTGGAGGACGGCGAAACGTGCCTGTGCTGGAGGATCATGCCGTCCAGTTTCACGCCCCAATCGCAGATCGCCCTATCGGCGTCTGTGGTGGAGCAACGACAGCATGGCAGCATCGCAATATGTGAGAAGGGCCTGCGGAGAATGCGCCCGATTCCATCGCACGATTCCATGTTGGCAAAAATGACTGCGTGCGATCGCAGCAGTGGAGGCCCCCAAAACGGGGTCACCGTAGATGGGGTCGAATGATGGCGTCGCATCGCCGATGCATCGGCGACTCGGCGATGTCGGCGTGGAGAAAATTGGGCTCCACATCGAGCCGCGGCGCCGACGCATCGACGATGCGGAGCGATCCACCGACCCCAGCTCCTCCGAACCCACTCCGGCGACCTGCAAGCGAGCGCCTGGCAACCACAGCGACATTCGGCAGACGTGCTCGCGCGGCGGAGCCTCTCTGGCGGCCTCGGGAAGCCGCCTCACGGTCGGGGACGCGGCGAGGACCGGCCCTCGACCGAGGCCCAGCAGCGGCCGGCGGCGCTGCGCCACGCCTGAGCGAGGGCGCACCGCCGCAGGCCTTGGCTGCCCAGGCCGGGGCCCGGCTGCGCGCCGTGCGCGCCGTGACCGCCGGCGGCTGCGGCCAGCGGCTCCACGCAGCGGCCAGCGGCCGCGGCCAGCGGCTCGTGGTGCGCACGGCCAGCGGCTGCGGCTGGCGGCCCCGGCCGGCGCCCGTGCCCGGCGCTCACGGCCGCCCGCCCGCGGCGGGGCGCCGCCGCAGCTGGCGGCCGATGCCCCTGCGCCGGCGCGGGCTGCCCCGAGGCCTGGCTCGCCGTAGGGGCGCCGGCCGCTCCCAGTGTTGGGCCGCGCGGCGCCGTCGTGCGCGCGGCGCGGCTCGCCGACGGCCTCGGCGCCCAGGAAGGTCGGCACGGGCACCTCGTTGCCCGAGGACCCCTGCAGGTGCGTCAGCAGCTGCGCAGGGGTGGTCAGCCCCATGGCCCATGTCCTGCAGCGGCCTCACGAAGGGCAGCACCTCGGGGTCCCTCAGCTGCCGCGAATGCGCACGGTACCACCTGATGACGTTCTCTGCCAATCCTTGTGTCGCGGTGGTCGAGAACTTCAGCATGCGCCCCAATCGTGCGACTGTTTAGCACGCATCCTCTCGACGAAACTCTGGGCGAGTTCTCGGCTAAGAAGGTTGATACTGGCGTACCCCTTGCACCGGTGCGTCTGCAGGCAGCGGCGCAGGTATAGATAGTCGTACCCTTGGCAGAGGCCCATCGAGCTGATGCAGTGCGAGGTCATGGGGCGTTCTGTGAGTGACGATGGTGAAATCCGTTTGGCTGGACACCGCGCTGGCCCATTCATTGACGCGCATCGCTGTGTTGCATGGCTCCATGCTCGTGGGCAGTGGATAACGCAAGACAGAAAATACCGCCCCCTTGCTTAGGTATGTTGACTATTGCTTGAGCCTTGGGGTAGGTGGAGAAGGGGCAAGGGTAGGAGGGCGAGCATCCCAGCCGCCCTGGGGACAGGCCCGGTGTTTTCTGAGAAATCCGCCGACCCCATGTGGGTCTCCAGGCGTGTGAGATAGTTGCCCCCCCCAATCCCCCACAGAGACCGACCAATGCAATTTTGAGGGGAGGGGGCTGGCCAGGCACGACCCCGGGGCGAACTCATCAAGGGGGTTCCGCCCCTCCCTGGGCTTCTTTCGGGGCTTCGCATCACAGGGGTCGGCTGCTGTAGCGCAAGCCTTAGGTCGGGCCTGTCTCCCCACAGGGGGATTTTGGATGAAATATAAGAAATACTCAAAAAATATTCAAAATGCTCAAACATACTCAACAAAAAGTCCCCAGACTATTTTTGACTATTTTTTTATATTCCCCCTGTAGAGGGACAGGCCCGACTTAACGCAAGCCTGTAGAATCGTTGACGGCGTTTTTTGCCCTGCCCGCCCTCTGGAGTTTGGGGGCCGCCGCTTTCTCTCCGTTGCGCCGCGCGGCTCCTCTTCTGAAGGAACAAAGACAAGTGTAAACATGACCGTCGCGCCCCTGCCGCCGACGCCCAGCGCGTCGCGGACGATGCCGGAGTTAGGTCGGGTATGTTCCCCTACAGGGGGACTTTGAGTGAAAAACAAACAAAAAAAACTAAAAAAAATACCACCAAATGGTCGACAAATGCTCAAAAAATCGTCCCCAGACTATTTCCTTAACTATTTTTGAATATTCTCCCTGTAGAGGGACAGGCCCGACTTAATGCCGGAGGAACAAAACACCGCAGAAGCATAAACTGTAAACTTTTCGTTGAGGTCCGCGCGGATGCCTCGGATCGTCGCTGGGCCCCCTCCCTGGTGCGCGGTTTGCGCCAGGGCCGGCGCTGGAGACGCCGCCAGCAGACGCCGCCAGGGGGGCCTCTCGCAGATCCAAGAAGCCCGCGCGGACCTTGTAGAGAAATAGTGTTTTAATGCCGCTCCTTGTTGTTCGATCCCCCCCTGGGTTATCCTCTCACTCCTGCCGCTGCGCTCGTGCGCATGCCGCCTGCACGGGTGTCTTATGCTGCCAGCCGCTGCCGAGAATCCAGCATAGGAGGGTTGGGAAATTCCGACGGTCGGGGGGAGGGTGCGTGCATGTGCGCGCAAGCAAAATGAATGCTCCTCCTTTTTCAAGCACCCTCTCAAAATCTAAGGGCTGCTGACAATATTCAAGCAATCGGCGAGTGACAATCTGCCACCGTGCCCCATGGCACGTTGAGGCTTGGAAGGATGCTCAGGTCTGTCTGTCATGGGCCACCTCTCCCTCTACCCGCAGGCTGCCGCGTGCATCCCCCCTGCTCACCGAGGCCACTTCCCTCGTGCCTGCTCGGGGAGGGTGCACTTCCCGCATGGCAGCGATTGCTTAAACACTCATTCCATGCGTGCCCACTCGAGGATGGTGCACTTCCCGCATGGCAGCCAATGTCTGAACCGCCATTCCACGCGTGACCGCTCGAGCCTGGTGTACTTCGCGCATTGCTGCTAACTCCTAGACCCATCATCCCACGCGCACCCGCTCGAGGAACGTGCTCTTCTCTCATTCCCAGGCGCAGCTCCTAAGTGCTCCAGGGCCTCCCAAGCCACGACCCCTGGTATGCGTCCCGAGCTTACAAGGCGGCCCGCGCAGGCAACCAAGGACACCAAGCTGGCCCAATATGCCTCACGACGGTCCACGATGGCCCCAAGGCGGCCGACAATTAATTCAGGACGGCCCAAGATGACTTCACGAGGGCCCAAAATGGCCACAAGAGGACCTCCACCAGAGTCAGAAGAAGCCACCATCATTGGCTTCCCTGGAATTTTGAAGCAGCTTCATAGTCTCGCCTTTTCGGGCTGCCGTCCGCTCAAGAGGGCCCAAGGAGACTCCATGATGGCCCAAGAGGCATCCACGACTGCCCCAAGACGGCCCACGAGGGCCTCCCGTGGGACCCAAGGCGTCCTTAGAGAAAGCCATTCGACAGCCTAAGACGACGCCACGCCCCACGACGGCCCCCAGACGCCCACCATACGGCCAAGAGGGCCCCACGACGGCCCGAGGGAGCCCCACGTCGGCGTAAGAGGGCCCCAAGACGGCCCAAGAGGGCCCCACATAGGACCCCCACGACTGCATCACAGGAGCCCGATACAGCACCAAGACGGCCCACACGAGCTGCATCACCATCATCATCGTCACCAGCATTAGCATCATCATCAACAGCATCATCATCAACAGCATCATCATCATCATCATCATCATCATCATCATCATCATCATCATCATCATCATCATCATCATCATCATTATCATCATCATCATCATCATCAGCATCATCATCATCATCATCAAATCATCAGTATCATCATCATCGTCGTCATCGTCATCGTCATCATCACCAGCATCCTCATCATCATCGTATCACCGCCACACTCATCATCACCACCAACATCACCACCATCAGCATCATGACCAGCAACACCATCATCAACCTGATCATCACCAGTATCGTCATCATCACCGCCATCGTCATCACCAACATCAGCATCAGCAACATCATCATCAACACCAGCATCAACATCTTTCTTCATGACCAGCAGCAGCAATAGCATCGGCACCATCATATTCGTCATCATCAGCAGGAGCAGCAGCAACATCGGCATTATCATACTCAGCATCATCACCATCATCATCACCATCACCATCACCGCCACCAACATCGGCATCCTCATCACCACCATCACCAGAATTCGTGTCAGCATTATAAACAACATCAACATAAACATCATCAACAACATCATCATCAATACCAGCGTCGATACCATGATTATCGACGTCATCGCCATCGTCGTCATCATATCATCGGCATCGTAGTCATCATAATCATCACCAACATCATCAACACCAACATCATTATCACCGTCATTACCCCCATCATCACCATAGTCATCACATCATACTCGCCACGGATGTCCCAAGCCTGAAGACAAGGGATGTCACACGTGACGGCCTCCTGCGCACCCTCGAACAGTCGCCACACAAAATGCTATGCTTGCACGGTGGCGGGATTTGCCGCAGGCAGCTAGATATTGAAGCAATGGGCGAAGTAGCTACAGTAAAGTAGGAGAAACCGCGTCAATCAGGCGTAGCGAAAACTTGTCCATGCTCACTTACACTGATAAATCTCCGACTAGGCTGAGGAGCAGCAGCGCAACGGTAAGGCCAAGATCGCCTCTCTGCCTTGACGCACCATCACTGCTCCTGGTAGTCGACGGTGACGGGCAAGCCTTCGACGGCACCGCCCCAAAACACGAAAGTGGCTTCGCCGAACGACGACTTGTCAGACTGGCGCTCGTCAAACTGAGCGACATGGCTGCCACGCTCAGTGCTCAACGAGACGAGTACTCGACCGTGATCGGGACCTCCGCCTTGGAAACACCGAAGTCTGTCATGCCCGCGCCAGCCATGTCTGAGGACCCGCTACTCTGAGAGGCATCTCCCTTCACATTCAGGGAGAGCGCCGCGACGGGGTCCAGGACCTCGTCGTCCAGCATCTCCATGATGGCTCCAAAGGGGACGCTGGTGACGTCCTGACCGTTCACCGTCTTCACGGACCAGCCAGGCTGCACGCCGGCAACAAAGGCCTGACCCTGCGGGTCGCCCGGGTAGCGGGACTTCTGGGTCACCTCCATGACCGTCGCGCCATTGCCGCCGACGCCTGGCGCGTAGCGGGCGATGCCCGAGGAGCAGAAACCCGCAAAAACAAAAGATGTTGGGGGTCCGCGCGGATCTCTTGGATCCGACCTGGACCCCCTCCCTGGCGGGCGGAGAGCGCCGGGGGGCGCCCGGCGCGGATCCAAGGAACCCGCGCGGAGCGCCAAAAGTTTGGCGTTCCTGCCGTCTCTGCTCCTCGAGATGCCGAAGGGGCGCTTCTTGTACTCCACCGACTGGCCGGCCGGGGCCGCGGCCGTGTCCACGGGCGGGCCGTCGGCGTCCTTGGGGCCGTTGCGCAGCAGGTAGTCCGTGCCCACGCGGCGCGCGGTGGCCCGGCCCCGCGGGCCTCGCGCGGCGGGCGCGCCCACGAAGAGCGCGCCGAGCGCCAGCTGGCGGGCCAGGGCGGCGAGGGCCGCCAGGGCCGCCAGAGGCAGGAGGGAAGTGCTGCGAGCCATCGGGGGGCGTACGAGGGAGGAGCGGTGTGCCACCCTGGGAGAGGAGAAGATTGGGCCAACGGAAGCTTGGGCCAGGGACGGTGGTCATGCTGATGATGCTGATGCTGACGAGGAGGGGCGAGGAGGATGGTGCTGCTGCTGATGGTGACGAAGAGGATGATGACCGTGATGGTGGTGGTGCTGCTGATGATGCTGCTGATGATGAGGACGATGAGGATGATGATTCTGATCAGTAGTGACGGGCAAGCCTGCTGCAGAGCCGCCTCCGAACACAAAAATGGCCACACCGAGCCACCCGTCAGACCGGCTCTCCAGCAAAATCGGAGGATCCGCCGCGCTCCCTGAGGTTGAGCGACGAGGCTGTCAGCGGGGCCGTGGCCGCGGGTCTATGCGCCATCCCTGGGCCCAGGAGGGCCATGGCCTGGCGCGGTGGCGGCGTACGGGTCCTTCCTGCGAACCTCTTCTGTGGCCCCACCCTGACCATCGCTCGGACGTCCATTCCCTGTGTTTTTGTTGTCGGTTTCGTGCGTGGCTTTTTCGCCAAATGATCAAGGATGCTCCTCGATGGTCCTCGCCGAAGGAGACATGCACACGTCCGAGCGATGCCAAGCACCTGGGTGGCACGGGGCCCGCGGACCCGCTGCGGAGCAGGCAGTCCACGCCCACTTGGCGCAGGACGGGGGAGGCGGTGCCCAGCCGCCGCGCGGGCGCGCGGCGCCGGCTGCGGTGGCCAGGAAGGGGGGCGGCCGCGAACAGCACGGGGGAGAGGGGCAGCGTTCGGTCGGGCATGCTCTCCTACAGGCGGATTTTGGAAGAAACATAATAAGTAGCCAACACATGCAAACATGATCTAATATAGTAGGAAAAGCGTCCCCAGACTATGTTCTGACTGTTTTTTCCCTACCTAGGCTCTGCCTAGAAAGGTTCATACCGTGTGTGATGAAAGGGCCAGGCAGTGCAAATCGCTCCGGGCGGTTCCCCCAGTATCCGCCCCGCGGTTCCCCCAGTGACGGCCCCTCAGCCTAGCGTTGCTTATCTCATCTTAGCTTAGCTTGCCTTCATCTTAGCTTAGCTTACCTTCATCTTAGCTTCGCCGAGCTTTAGCATAGCAGAGCACAGCATAGCATAGCAGAGCGTAGCACAGCACAGCGCAGCACAGCATATCATAGCAACGCCCAGCATAGCATTACATAGCATAGCGCAGCATAGCATAGCATAAGATAGCACAGCATAGCGCAGCACAGCATAGTACCGCGCAGCATAGCATAGCATAGCATAGCAGAGCATCGCATACCACAGCAGCAAAGCAAAGGCAATTCAACAGCAGCGACAGCAAGGCAAAGCACAAGCAACGCAAAGCAAAGCAAAGCCAACACAACAGCAAAGCAACGTGTAGATGTAGACGTAGATGTAGGTGTAGATGTTGATGTAGCTGTAGGTGTAGATGTAGGTGTAGATGTGGATGTAGATGTGAGTATCGCTGTTGATGTTGATGTGGATTTAGATGCAGGTGTAGATGTTGATGTAGCTGTCGGTTTAGATATAGATTTTGCTTTTCTAGATCCTCCAACTCCTAGGTAGGGTCGCACTGGGATAATTGAATCCTTCCTCATGTATGGGGTCCTGCCCAACTCGTAAGGGTAGCGCAGATCCGAGAAATTCGCTCCGATCTTCGAGCACTTAATTACGTCTCAAGGCTGCGCGTTCGGGCATGGCCAGCTCCGGCCCTTTTGGTGGGCTTGTTCTCCACCACCGCAACCACCATACGTAGGAGGGAGGGGGTCCTCCTCCTCCTCCTCCTCCTCCTCCTCCTCCTCCTCCTCCTCCTCCTCCCTCTCCTCCTCCTCCTCCTCCTGCTGCTCCTCCTCCTCCTCCTCCTCCTCCTCCTGCTCCTCCTCCTCCTCCTCCTTCTCTTCTTCCTCCTCCTCATCCTCTACCTCCTTCTCCCCTCTAACTTCTGGTGGTGGTGGTGGAAAACAAGCCCATCGCCTCCTGCCTGCTCCTCCTCCTCCTCCTCCTTCTCTTCTTCCTCCTCCTCATCCTCTACCTCCTTCTCCCCTCTAACTTCTGGTGGTGGTGGTGGAAAACAAGCCCATCGCCTGTAGTCATCCCCACCAGCGGTGCGTCGTCTTTGCCCGCCTCGCCCTCGTCCTCGGGACGAGGAGGCGGAGCGGGCTGCCGGCGGCCTGCGCGGTGACCCCCCCCCGCTTCGGCCGAGGGCGTCGCGGCCGCTGAGGAGCCACCGTGTCCACCGCCGTGCCCTGCGTTGGGCAGGGGCTGACCGTCCCGGCAATCCTATAGGCCTACCACGACATGTTCTTAGAACCCAAAAGGGTTCTAAGAACAAGGCCAATGTTCTTAGAACACAATCCCGAGTTGTTTCATATACAAAACTGTTCGATTTTGTGCAGATCACAAAAAAGGTTCTCAGAATCTTCTTTGGTGGGCCTATGTATTACTAGGCCAGCCAGGACGCTTCGCCACTGCTCGACTACGTATTCGACCATGAACCCCTTGTTGCCCATCTGCCTCGGGAGGTCTTCGGCGGTCTTCTGGCGGCCTTCAGCGGTTTCCGGCGGTCTTCGGCGGCTTCCCGCGGTTTTCGGCGTGAGAACTCGGCGCTTGCGGTTAGCAAAAAGTCCATGGTCGCACACCTAACCGTGCCCACCGCGGTCGCCAGTTCTATCGTGAGTCAGGCCGCGCGGTCGAGGTCCGAGGCTCGGGAGGGAGGTCGCGGACAGTTCCGGTGCCACAGGAAGCCCTTGAGAGCCGGCCACGCGCCACAGCGACCCCAGGCAAGAGTGAGACCTCCAGTGCGCGGCTTCGGGGGGCCGCGGGGGGATACCCAATCCCTGCACGCAAGCCGCTGCTGTCGCACCGCATCCAGCGATGGCCCAAGCGGGCCCGCACCAAAGGCCACTCTGGCGGAGGGTCACCCCTGCGCGCAGTCGAGGGAGAGGCCTCTAGGAGGGACGGCCCAGATCTCTGGCATCACGAGGAGCTTCACGACGGCGGGTGCTCCGAGATCTGGGCCTCTGGGCCGTCTGTGGCCCGGCGCGGGCCTGCAGAAGAGCGGCTCGGCGTGAGAGGCTGGCTCCCCGGGAGGGGCTCGAGATCGGCGGCGAGCGAGGGTTGGAAGTGAGAAGGAGAAGGCCTTCTCAGACGGTTCGGAAGTCCCCCGACCATCTGAGCTGAGACGTTTTTTCCCCACATCCTGAGTGGGGTTCTTGTTTTCCCAGAACACCCTCTCCTTCCCACCCACCTCCCGCTCCATCTTCCATACAGCACAATATTATTCCTACCACGCACACCATACCATACCATAGTTCCTACCACACATACCATACCATACCATACCATACCACACCATACCATACCATACCGTACCATACCATACCATGGCGTACCATAGCATACCATACCATATCACACCAATGCCACACCGTACCATACCATACCATACCTCCAGTACCATACCATACCATATCATACCATACCGTACCATACCATACCTACCATACCATTCCATACCACTCCATACCGAAAACCATACTACTTACATGGTTTCGTGCCCCTCCCACCCCTCCAGGGAGGCCCCGCCTGAGCGAGGAGGGTATCGGAACCATACTATTTACATGGTTTCGTGCCCCTCCCACCCCTCCAGGGAGGCCCCGCCTGAGCGAGGAGGGTATCGGAAAACCATACTATTTACATGGTTTCGTGCCCCTCCCACCCCTGCAGGGAGGCCCAGCCTGAGCGAGGAGGGTATCGGAAAACCATACTATTTACATGGTTTCGTGCCCCTCCCACACCTCCACGGAGGCCCCGCCTGAGCGAGGAGGGTATCCGAAAACCATACTATTTACATTGTTTCGTGCCCCTCCCACCCCTCCAGGGAGGCCCCGCCTGAGCGAGGAGGGTATCGGAAAACCATACTATTTACATGGTTTCGTGCCCCTCCCACCCCTCCAGGGAGGCCCCGCCTGAGCGAGGAGGGTATCGAAAACCATACTATTTACATGGTTTCGTGCCCCTCCCACCCCTGCAGGAGGCCCAGCCTGAGCGAGGAAGGTATCGGAAAACCATACTATTTACATGGTTTCGTGCCCCTCCCACCCCTCAGGGAGGCCCCGCCTGAGCGAGGAGGTATCGGAAAACCATACTATTTACATGGTTTCGTGCCCCTCCCACCCCTCCAGGGAGGCCCCGCCTGAGCGAGGAGGGTATCGAAAACCATGTTTACATGGTTTCGTGCCCCTCCCACTCCTCCAGGGGAGCCCCGCCTGAGCGAGGAGGGTATCGGAAAACCATGCTATTTACATTGTTTCGTGCCCCGTCCCACCCTTCCAGTGAGGCCCCGCCTGAGCGAGGAGGGTATCGGACAACCATACTATTTACATGGTTTCGTGCCCCTCCCACCCCTCCAGGGAGGCCCCGCCTGAGCGAGGAGGGTATCCGAAAACCATACTATTTACATGGTTTCGTGCCCCTCCCACCCTCCAGGGAGGCCCCGCCTGAGCGAGGAGGGTATCCGAAAACCATACTATTTACATGGTTTCGTGCCCCTCCCACCCCTCCAGGGAGGCCCCGCCTGAGCGAGGAGGGTATCCGAAAACCATACTATTTACATGGTTTCGTGCCCCATCCCACCTCTCCAGGGAGGCAAACCATACTATTTACATGGTTTCGTGCCCCTCCCACACCTCCAGGGAGCCCCGCCTGAGCGAGGAGGGTATCCGAAAACCATACTATTTACATGGTTTCGTGCCCCTCCCACCCTCCATAGCGAGGAGGGCCATACTATTTACATGGTTTCGTGCCCCTCCCACCCTCCAGGGAGGCCCCGCCTGAGCGAGGAGGGTATCGGAAAACCATACTATTTACATGGTTTCGTGCCCCTCCCACCCCTCCAGGGAGGCCCCGCCTGAGCGAGG